GAATTTTTTATAACCTTGGGGAAAGGATGGACCAATTTTTATCTCCTCTAAAAATTTTACCCTGTAGATATCTATGTTTTGCGTAATGGATTCTACGTCTTGAATTTGGAGCAGTGCATTATAGAAGTTACAGGGTAGTCAGTATCAATAATTATGAACATGTTCTGCATGCATATTTTGCCCCTGATTTGAATTTGGAGTAGTCCATAAGAAGTGATCGGCTTTTCAATGTCATTATGATTGAAAAGTATTATGCATTTACGGTGCATCACAATTATTTAAAAGTGGTAACCCTTGCATCACTTCCGATAGACTTATACAAATATGTTTACTAAATATTTATTAAAAATTATTACTGCATTAACCTTAACCTTTAATGCTGCTGGAATCGAGGTTGGTTATCTTTTGCCACCAGTATTATAGAGCCCAGCAAGCCTGCATGTCCATCTTGTCCGTTTCTGTACTGGTGGCAGAGGCTTTAATCACTTGGTTCCAGCAGGGTAAAGGTAGATGAAATTTCATCATCTCCTACACAAGGATCACAATTTTAAGCTTAGATTAGTGCAATTAGCTGGGTCTTGAATATTAAATCCTAAGATCTTGTGTACAAAGGTTATAAAAAGGTAAAATTTGAAGAAATTTATTGTGTGATTTTTTGTTTTAATTATCAAAGAGATTAACTGAGCCTTTTAAAATTTTGAAGTACAAACAACAGTATTTCATCCTTTAAAAGTGGGTGGTGTATTTTTTGTTTCATTTTCAAGGAGAATAAATGAGTTTAAAGTAATCCGCCATTTAGATTGCTCTGCTACTGTTGTTAAAGCTACCGGCTCGAAAGGTTAAATAGCTAATATTGTCACACTGTGTTTTCTGCCTTTTGCTCTCTGTTAAATGATGTTGCATGAATTCCAGGAATTAGGAAATAAAAAACAGCTGGCATTGTATTACAAGGTAATTTGTTTGACACGATATTTTGTAATCGTGAAATTTGTAATCGAGAAATTTGTTATTGTAATTACTAAGAAACAGATTTTACTTTTCTATTTCTGCACATGTTAAGTGCAAATTAGGAGTAAAAACTACCGTAGAGCTGTCATTGGTAGAAACAATATCGATGTATCATTAATATTTTTCCTATGATCCATAATGAATATACATTTCAAAATATCAATAATTTTGAGTAATTACAGAAAAAAGAATTAAAAAAATAAAAATAAATTTTTAAAAAATAGGTCAGATAATTCCAAAACAAGTATGTCATGCAACTGACACTATTTTTTTCCCCACTTTAAATATTTCTGTTACAAAACATATACTTTTATATCATGCAAAGTTAAGATAAATTCTATGAAAGAGTTTTCAATTTGCCTATACGTCTTATAATATGAAAACTATAGTGAACTTTCTATAATAGCTGATAGATTTATGTAATGGTCTTGTCTGTATATAAAATCGGATTGTCTGCGGAATTCATAGAGGATTTCATTTACTAAGATTATTTGAAATAGCAAAATGGTATTGAACAGAAGGGTTGACAGAAGAACTGTTGTAAGTCCTCTCTTTATTTCATATAAGTTACTGTAGTTCTGCAGTCATCCCTTGAATTATGTTAAGATGGTATAGAAGTGAAGGCAGGCTGGCAATTATACTGATAGGTAAGGCACAGGCACGCCAATATTTTTGCAACCATTTACAGAATTCCTGTGTACAACTTTTCTAAATTTCCACATACAAAAATCTGAATTGATAATTTATTCGTCTTGCTATTTCTTAATATTATGTAACACTAAATTTTTGTCATGGAATTTATAGTTTAATAAACAGAGAATCATTAGATTATGATATATGTGATTAAACATTATTATTAATATATTATGACATACAGCAAAATAACATGATCTATTAAATGTAATAAAGAAATTCTCTCCATTAATGAACTTGAAAGTAAATGAAAATTTCATATTTATTGACTAGCAATATACTGCAGAATCATTATAATTTGTGGGGAACTTAAATATTCATGGTTTTCAATGATATGTCAATCCACGAATTTAGGATCCAACGAAATTTAATTTCGTCTGTTGTAAGATTATTTTGCATCACATTTTTTTTATTTTACCTTTTTTTGGAAAAAAAGAAAATTCCATGAATTTTAAGAACCCATGAAAAATGCTCTGTGAGACAAAACCACGAAATTTCATGCCCACGAAATTAAGTGAATTTACAGTATTTGATTCCGTATAAGTCTTGCGTTGGATCTGGAATTATGTTATGGGATTTGTTAGTTAATGGAAATTTCTCATTATGAAAGTTAGGGGACCAATAAAGTATTAAATTAATAGACAGGGACCAATAAACTGTTGGCCCATTCTGTTTTTGAGTGTGCTTTAAGCTTTTGGTTAATTCCTCACAGAGATGAAGGTTCTTCTTGTCTTTAAGAAATTACGGCAAATGCAGCAAGTGTTTCTTCTTGTTTTATGTTGGCATCAATGTTTTGATTTAAAAGCTATTTTTTGAGGTTTTGCAATGGGGGAAAAAATGTCACATTGTAATGTTTTGCAATAGAAAAAAATAATGTGGAAATAATAATATGCCACATTGAGAGTGGAAAAAACTCTCTACATTAATCCACATTGAGAGTGAAAAGATTTCTAGATTATGCCACATTGAGAGTGAAAAAATTTCTACATTATGCCACATTGAGAGTGGAAGAAATTTCTACATTATGCCACATTGAGAGTGAAAAAATTTCTACATTATGCCACATTGAGAGTGAAAAAATTTCTACATTATGCCACATTGAGAGTGGAAGAAATTCCCCACATTATGCCACATTGAGAGTGAAAAAATTTTTACATTATGCCACATTGAGAGTGAAAAATTTTTACATTATGCCACATTGAGAGTGAAAAAATTTTTACATTATGCCACATTGAGAGTGGAAGAAATTCCCCACATTATGCCACATTGAGAGTGAAAAATTTTTTACATTATGCCACATTGAGAGTGAAAAATTTTTTACATTATGCCACATTGAGAGTGAAAAAATTTCTACATTATGCCACATTGAGAGTGGAAGAAATTCCCCACATTATGCCACATTGAGAGTGAAAATTTTTTTACATTATGCCACATTGAGAGTGAAAATTTTTTTACATTATGCCACTTTGAGAGTGAAAATTTTTTTACATTATGCCACATTGAGAGTGAAAAAATTTTTACATTTTTTCACATAGAGAGTGAAAAATTTTTTACATTATGCCACATTGAGAGTGAAAAAATTTTTACATTATGCCACATTGAGAGTGAAAAAATTTCTACATTATGCCACATTGAGAGTGGAAGAAATTCCCCACATTATGCCTCATTGAGAGTGAAAAAATTTTTACATTATGCCACATTGAGAGTGAAAAAATTTTTACATTATGCCACATTGAGAGTGAAAAAAATTTTACATTATGCCACATTGAGAGTGAAATTTTTTTAACATTATGCCACATTGAGAGTGAAAAAATTTCTACATTATGCCACATTGAGAGTGGAAGAAATTCCCCACATTATGCCACATTGAGAGTGAAAATTTTTTTACATTATGCCACATTGAGAGTGAAAAATTTTTTACATTATGCCACATTGAGAGTGAAAAATTTTTTACATTATGCCACATTGAGAGTGAAAATTTTTTTACATTATGCCACATTTTGAGTGAATTTTTTTTTACATTATTCCACTTTAAAGGTGGAAAATATTCTCCATATACCAGTCACCCTCAGCAATTCAAGTGTTAATTGTAATACTCTCTTCTGTTCTTCTGGTCCAATTTTTGTATAGCATCTTTTTGTAGGAATATTTGTTTTTGATAAGCAGCAATACCTCAATAAATTATTGATCTTCAAATAAATTATTTATTTCATTTCATGTAATTTGTGTCATTATTGCGTTTGGACCTGAATAAACATAAGTTACATAACTATATATATATATATTGTTGTGCAACAGACACTAAAAATTACAAAATTAATACAACTAGGACCATAATTATAGATTTGCAGTCTAGCCCTGCACTCTGTTACGTGTGATTCGGTGATTACACGTTAGTTATTGTCTCTGGTACCCATTCAGAAAGGCAACTTTACATTGTCGTCCTGTGTCATACGCCTCATCAACTTTTAAAGCTTCTGGTTTATTGGTTAGAGTGAACGATTTTAACATGTCATATTCAATTTAATCTAATGTGTCACCAGTTACAGTACAGTCCTTAAAGTGAACAGTTTTAAAAAGCGCCAGGCAGAATTAAATCATCAGACAGATATAATATTTTTTTACTTTGTACCATAATTTGGACTTTCATAATATTTGGACTTTCTGATGATCTGAACTTGTACCATAATTTGGACTTATGCTTTGATTTGTACTGAGACCATAACTTGGATGAAAATCCTACATGCAAGGGACTAAATTAAGTAAATAGCTGGACTTGTACAAGAATTTGGACTAATACAATAGATCTACATCTATAATCTGTATCAATTTCATAATGAATTTGGACTAATATTAGAATTTGGACTTAAAACTTTATTTGGACTAATATCATAATTGTGACTTACACCATAATTTGAACTTAAACCATAATTTGGTCTAGTACCATGATTTGAACAATTAGGGCATGAACCATAATTTGGACTAATTATATATCAAGGATATATACCATAATTTAGACCTAAACCATGATTGGGACTTTTGCTATAAATTGGACTTACCGAGTCTGAAATTCTTATGTAATTTTGTTATGATGAATGTTTCCGAGGGATCACTTTGTTTCCAGATTTTTACACCATAATTTTGACCTATACCAATTTAGGACATTTAGCACTTATATCATACTTTGAACTTATACCATAATGATACAGAACTTGTACAAAAATTTGGACCAAAATACCATAATTTGGACCAATACTAGCATTATCTAGATTACCACTAATGCATTATTGTTTTTATGATTTCAGGAACATACTTTGGTTGGTTGTCCAAATGATGTGACGAAGCCAGACATACAGCTGCAAGGTCTAGGTATCCAACCTGAACACTGTGTTGTTGATATCACTGAAAATGAAGTTTTTGTCACTCCTGTGGAAGGTGCAAGGTACATGACGTTTATACTTATTTTTATGCTGCATGGAACAAGTCCTTTATATAGAAAACATAATTTCCATGACTGAGAGGTTATGATTGTTGACTTCATATCACTTGCCTCTGACTGCAGTAGGTTTGTGCTGCCATAATAAATGTGAATAGGTTAGCAACATGCCTTGTTGAGAGTGAATAAAATAGCAAAAAGAGAGTGAATAGATTAGCAATATGCCTCATTTAGAGTTTATAAATTAGCAACATGCCTCATTGAGAATGAATAAATTAGCAATATGCCTCATTGAGAATGAATAAATTAGCAATATGCCTCATTGAGAATGAATAAATTAGCAATATGCCTCATTAAGAATGAATAAATTAGCAATATGCCTCATTGAGAATGAATAAATTAGCAATATGCCTCATTGAGAATGAATAAATTAGCAATATGCCTCATTAAGAATGAATAAATTAGCAATATGCCTCATTAAGAATCAATAAATTAGCAATATGCCTCATTGAGAATGAATAAATTAGCAATTTGCCTCATTAAGAATCAATAAATTAGCAATATGCCTCATTGAGAATGAATACATTAGCAAGATGCCTCATTGTGAATGAATAAATTAGCAATATGCCTCATTGATATTGAATAGTTTAGCAATATGCCTCATTGAGTGTGAATAAATTAGCAATATGCCTCATTGAGAATGAATAATTAGTAGCAGTATACCTCATTGAAAGTGAATAAATTAGCAATATGCCTCATAAAGAGTGAACATATTAGCAATATACCGCATTAAGAATCAATAAATTAGCAATATGCCTCATTGAGAATGTATAAATTAGCAATATGCCTCATTGAGAGTGAACAAATTAGCAATATGCCTCATTGAGAGTAAACATATTCTCTGTATGCCACATTAAGAGAAAAAAAATCTCTATATTGAGAGCGAAAGATTTCCCTATTTGCTTTATTGAGAGTGAAATTTCACAATTCTAGCGTAAAAAAATCTTCACAAAAGAAAAAATATTCTATACCTAGAGTGAAAAAATACTTACATTGGACATTTAGATGTAACGTTAACATTAAGATAAAAAAAAAAATAGAAACCACTACAAGGAAGGGTAATTTTGGCTCTTACTGTTTATTTCCCTTCTAACTGTTGCGCATTGATAATAGACACATTTATTCCAGGGGGAAATATTTTTTGTTTAATGGACTTTCGCAGCCTTTTACATTGCCCAAATGAATCTCGTCTGCGGCACCCTATGGTCAGTTAAGTTTACTTTTCAGGAGAAACTAGATTATGCGTACCAGGAATATAATTTTCTCCTCTATTAATTTCTGGAAGAGAAATAAGCTGGGTTTTTTTTTTTTTTTCGTGTTCACCTTTTTATGAACCCAGTTGACATTCTGTATGATAAGTTTGTATTTGTTCGTTTTTCTGGTGAAAAAAGTGGATTATTGCAATTATCATGATATATTTATTGGAATTAAGCTGAGAAATTTTGTACTTTATATATACTGTCTTTCTGGAATGATACTCGATCAAACCAAATGTATGAAACTAAGTCTGTAATTATATATCTTTAATTTCATCTTTCCATGTCAATTAAAAAAAATAAAAGGATGTGATGTTAAGGGTCGTTTTTTCATGCCGGCATTCATACATTAACTATTGAAAAAATTCACTTGAAATTTTACACAGTGACTGGCCAAGAGCCCTTACTGTAGCATGGTTCTTGATAAAAATAATTCCCGTTTGTGACCTTTGTAAATTCCTATCAGCTTTGAAAATTCTTTGCCAATGTGTGCCTTATTTACCGCTCTAAATTTTTAATTTGAAACTTCACAACATTTATGAAGGATAATTATGTTTGGTCACTGACCAAGACCCATAACCTAAGCATGTTCATTGATTGAATTATTCTCCTTTGTAGACATGGAAAATTTCTTTTTATGCCCCTGCTTCTAAGGAGCTGGGGTATATATTTTTAGCCCTTGTCTGTCATACTGTCTGAAGACATTGTTAGGGGATTCATGTCCTATGAACACATTTCTATTTATTTTACAGAAAATATGTAGTGTTATAAATATATATTATAATGTATGGTATATTATTTATTTTTTTTTTCAGAACTTGTGTGAATGGATCAGTGATACATCAGTGCACAAAGGTGAAGCACGGGGATAGAATATTGTGGGGAAATAACCACTTCTTCCGCATCAATACACCAATACAAAACAGTAAGTTTGGTTATATATCGATAAAAAACACAATACGCTTATCACTCCATTGTGAACAATAAAAGTTTGTCTGTACCACTGGATTAAATGGCAAAATCCCACATTTGCAAAGTTAACGATAACATCTATGGTGTTAAGTTGCTTGTTCAATGGCTTGCCCTATGATAATAGGGTTTGAACCAACATGCCACCAATGATTAGTTTACTTGTCCAATGTACAAACCACTTTGCCAGTTAATTTGATAACATAAAACAATTTGATAACATAACCAATGAGCAATGAATTATGGACAAATAAAAAATGTTGCAATATGTGTTATCTGGAATTCGACAAATATGGGTTTTTCCAAGCTAAATCCCCAACCCCCACATACACACCCTAAGCACCACCAGCACCCACAGTATAGAGCCTGTTCAGGGTGCAGAAATTTCCAGGCTGGCCTAGCTTTAGACCAGACTCAGTTGCTGCATGTTCCTGTAAGATAGAGGCATATAAAATGATAAATGACTTGAAATTCACAGAAAATTAAGATTATAGAAATATATAATCAACAAAAAAATTATTTTCCATGCCCTATTTTATGATGTATTCATTTGAGGATTTTTTTTTTTTGTACAATTATTGACTCTTGACATACATCATTTTATTTGTTCAAGCCCTCTGTTGATAATTTAGAATTACTGGCATGGTATGTTAAATTTTCCTTCAGAGATAATTGATTTTTTTCCCTAGTATTCTGATAGAATCTAAAGAATCTAATGCAGATAGACAAAGTCAATTTGAGTCTTGCCCAAATGTAAATAAGATTTGAAAGTCTTTGTGTATTTAAAATGCCCCCTGTGTTTACATAGGGCCGTTGAGGAAGAATTCCACTTTTGATTATAACATTTGTAGTAGAGGCTGATCAATAGGGCCAATTTATCTTAGCCGTGTCTTGTTAACTTGAGGAAAATTATATTTTTCTATCGGAAAAAAATAACAACCAACTCCAAGCTTTCTGTTGAGGTCTGTTTTTTTAAAAAGCCTGCCTGAAACAACAAGTTCAACCATTTATATCTCCTATAAAAGAAGGAGAAAATATAGTAATTGGATTAAGTATGTATTCCTCGCGTTATGTAACAAGTGTTGAGAGGAAATCCAATTTTAATGAATTTAAAAGAATCCAATTTTAATGAATTTAAAAGAATCCAATGGTTATAAATTTAAGAGAATCCAATTTTAAAGAATTTAAAAGAATCCAGTGTTGATAAATATAAAAAAATCCTATTTTAATGAATTTAAAAGAATCCAATGTTAATGAATTTAAGATAATCCAATTTTAATTAATATAAAAGAATCCGATATTAATAAATTTAAGAGAATCCAATGTTGATAAATTTAAGAGAATCCAATGTTAATGAATTTTAGAGAATCCAATTTTAATGAATTTTAAATAATCCAATGTTAAATAAATTTAAAATTATTAAAATTAGATAAAATTATTATGTTAATAAATTTAAGAGAATCCAATGTTAATAAATTTAAGAGAATCCAATGTTAATAAATTTAAGAGAATCCAATGTTACTGAACTTTTTATCTCAATTTTCCATTTAATTTGTTTTATTGGTTAAATTTTGAAGAAGAAAAAATACAATTGTACAAAGAGGTAGGTGGGGTTAGAAAATATTGACTTAATTTTTTTTTAACATTTAAGGAGCTGAACTAATAAAGATTCAAAAGCCTAAATTTAAATAGTTTCCAAAGCTTTTATTAAATGACATTTAGCCCATTATTTCTGTCTAAAATGCAAAAATTTCAATAAAGTATAAAATAATAACTTACAGGTAAAGAGTTGTTGCCCTTTAAAGACACAAAATGTTTCTAACATAAAAACATGAACAAGCTATGCAGAAAAGAAATAAACATTTTAGGCATTTCAACAAAATTCTGAAGATTTTAATGTGTAATGTGTTTCTTTTAATCCTTTAATGGTGATGTTGTTACAAATGAGATTTTTTTTTACTCAAAGATTTGTGTGGGTGGGACTTGGAGATTGAATTTGCTGAACCGCAAGCCTCTCGCCAGTCTTTTTGTTGTAGCTCTTCAAGGGGACATAATTATTGTAAAGCATATGAAAGGTCTTCTTTAGTCTTACTTATTTCATACACTAAGTGTTGAATAACTGTAAATTCATTCACTGAATTTCATGTGTGGGAAATTTCGTAGTTTTGTCACAAAGTATATTTTTGTGGGTTCTTAATTTGTGAACTGTTTTTTTTGCCAAAAGAAAAAAATTATATAAAGTGATTCAAAATAATCTTACAGCGGACGAAATGAATTTTTGTTGAAACTTAAATTTGTGGATTGAAATCTTCACTAAAAACCATACATGTGAACTCTCCCACTTTTAGCGGGAGACTCCCATTTTTTGCAGTCATATTTTCAAATATTTTTCTTAAAATAAAGGGTATTTTCACAAATTAAAGAAATTTTCCTATTTTTGATGTCAGAACTTCCTTCTTTGTTTATTGCAAATTCTAAAGTCTCCCTCTTTTTGAAGAAAAATCTCCCACTTGATCATCAAAAAAAGTTCACATGTTTGACCAATACCACGAAAATTAGATCCCAACAAATAATAAAGGGTTTGAGTCTCGGTCAGGCTGCACATTTTTCTCACCCTGTGACAAAAACAAATAATCAAACAAACAGACAGACAATTTTTTTCCTACATCACTTTATGATTGAAAACCCCATAATAGTGACAGTGTGGCTGAAAACTCAGCCTTGAAAAAGATAAAACATGTTATATTACTACCTACAAGCATCATGTGTCACTAACTTGATACAAAGTAGTTTTCAAACAGGTATCATTTTGTGTAATTAAGGATTTGAATTTCAGTTATTTTGTGTGAAGTAAGCACATCTGTTTAAAAATAAAATAGTTGGTGAAAAAGAAAGAACAAAGCACTGTGGGTTTGGTTTATTTGTTGGATGTTTGAACTGACAGGAAATGAATCATTCCTGTAAACACTGCAACAAAAGGATGGATTTTCTGAGTGTTTGAATGTTTTAATGGAATTTAAATGAGTTTTATGAAAAATTACCAAGGGATCTACGTTTCATTTTACCAAAGGATGTTGAAATGAGTTAGAAATTAGTGTGTAAAAAAACAGATGTTATTAAATGATAACAGAGAGACCAGCGGCAAGTAATACTGAATTTAAGTATTGGTTACTGTTTATTAGTAAGCATTTACAAAAATAAATTGGTCAAGAATGGCACAGTTGTTCGACTGCTGTAATTTTGTAAATGTTTACTTTTGAACACTAACCAAGTAATGGTTTTATAAACTGTCGATTTACTACACTAATTAACAGTTTGCCAATTTATTAAAGTAAATGTGTTACGATTCATCTGAAATATTGCAATTCTATTGGACCAAAAAAAGTTTCAAACTCTAAACAATTGTAGATTGAACACTACATGGTAGTTAGACACTATTAAGAAAAAAATTAAAAAAATGTTTTTTTAACAGTTTAAAAGAAGTAATGTTTGATCAATTTCATCTGTTTAAGACATTAAAAATATTCTTTTTCTTGTTAGCGTCAAACTAACTGAGTTGTTGATCTACTTTTATTATGCACTTCCAGATAAATGCGACGTTTAAATGAACGGTTAAATAAATGCTATTATAGACAGTTTATGCAACATGATGGATATCTAAATTTTGGTATAGGGAGTCACTTTGGTCATGTTTCAGTAATTGATCCACTCTATTTTATTTCTTAAATTATCTCATTGGTTAATATAACATCTTGATTGATCGTTCGAAAAAAGAAAATTAGTTCATTCACTGAAACAAATGATATACTAAAACTATTGAATTGTTTGCTTTTGAAGTCATGAATTATTTGTTTTAAAGCCTCGTTTGTCATGCCTTATTCTTAATAATTGTAGGACAGACTTTATAATGAGCTATGATTTTGGAAATAATTTTCTTGGAACAAACAATTTTGTTGTCATATGTTATGAAGTGCCGTAGCTCGTTTACAGCCTGAAGTTTGAAGTTTTTTTTTTCTCTATCAGTAGTTGATATGAAATAATTTTTCATGATGTCAGTGGTTATAGAAGTTTGCGGAGTGATTGAGGGAGGTGGGGGATGGGGAATGTTGAGATGATTTGATCTAACTTCATATCTATATATCCACATATGCACTTTCACTTGGGGTGTGGAACTCAATTGCAAAACGCATTTAAATTCCAAGTAAAATGTAAATTTGTCAATCCTAGCACATGTGTACTTATCATATACATGTATATATAAAAAAAACAAAAAAAAACCTTAATATAAGCTGCTTTGAAAAAAAATTCATATTTCAACATCTATATTAATTAAAAGCGTTTTGAACTCCACACCCCAAGTGTCTGTGCACATATGTAGCTTCCAGTTAGTATTTGAAATTCCACATATGTAGTTCAGGATCTGTATCCATAGCTTTGGATCTGTATCCATAATTCCACATTATGTAGCTTTGATACAAAGAAGGGATCTGTGTTAATAAGATGTAAATATTTTTCAGGTCCAACAACAAGTAATCCTGAAGATGCTGATCAAACGATCGACTACAAGTTCGCTCAACAAGAGTTGATGATGAAAGAGTTTAGTAATGATCCTATATCAGAAGCTATATGTGCAGTAGAGAAACAGTACGAGGAAGATAAACAAGGTACGTATGATAAAACTACCAACATTTTTAGTTGTTTTTTATTTGAGCCGCGCCATGACTTAACCAACGTACTGGGTTTGCGACCAGCATGGATTCAGACCAGCCTGCGCATCCGTGCAGTCTGATCAGGATCCATGCTGTTCGCTTACAAACCCTATAACAAGTAGAGAAACTGATAGCGAACAGCATGGATCCTGATCAGACTGCGCAGGTGCACAGGCTGGTCTGGATCCATGCTGGTCGCAAACCCATTATTTTGGTTCTGTTGTGACGTGGCTCATTTGTTATCTCTAATTTTAGTATGATAAGAATGTATATTAAATGGAAAAATATGTCCTCTGAGCCATGAAACTTGTAGTTGTCACAGTTTCTTATTTACCACATATTAGAACAAGTAAATGACATAATAGAACAAGAGTAATGATGTATTAGAATAAGTGTAATGACCTATTAGAACAAGTGTATTGACATATAAGAACAACTATTTGACATATAAGAACAAGCATATGACAGATTGGAACAAGTGTAGTGGTGTATTAGAACAAGTGTAATAACAAATTAGAACAAGTGTAATGATTTATTAGAACAAATGTAATGACATAGAACAAGTATATGACATATTAGAACAAGTGTAAAGATGTATTAGAACAAGTATATGACATATTAGAGCAAGTGTAATGGTGTATTAGAACAAGTGTAATGACATATTAGAACAAGTGCAATGATGTAGTAGAACAAGTATAATGACATATTAGAACAAGTATAATGACCTACTGAAACATTATTAATATTTGTGATGTATATCTTATTTGGAACTGCCATTTTCTGAAATTTTCTCTGGTGGAATTATTAAAAGCAATTGTATTGCAATTTTTTTTTTCCCTCTCTTTCTTTGTCAGTTTGATATCCAAGTAAGTAAATGCAATATTATTATCAAAGAAAAATTTAGCTAGTGAAAAAAAAGGTCAGAAAATTTTGATATTGAAATTGAGCATGTCTATTTCAATTAAAATGTAATAAAGCTCTTGGGGGAGAAAACATAAAATAAAAATCTTCCTAGCTTGAAGACAGCATAAAAAATGAGCTTTTAGAATTGAAAATTATTCATGAAGAAAACAAGGAAATTAAAATCGGACTAAAATACTGATGGAATTGTGGGAGAATTGTTCTTGATGGAGAAATACGAAATGAACTGGAATATAGTGGGAATAAAGAAAAACGCGTCTTGGAGGTATTGCGACTAGAAAACCTATCGTTGTCATGTTGAATTGCTTTAGAGTTAAAGACAGGCCAAATTGACACTTGAATCTTTAAATATTTCTACAAAACATTATCATATTCTGTTTCAAATCTGGGCAAAGGTTAGAATAAATGATTTATAGGATTTTTACAATGTTAAGAGGCTATATCTGGAAAATTGGAAAATGCCAAGGCAGATCGGAGCAAAATTTGCTAATACAATCAATCGTTAGGTTTAGAATTGGCCAAAAAATTGAACCTGTTCAAATTTGGTTAAATTTTCTTTTTGAGTAAATCTAGCCAGCTAAAATGCTTTCACTGGATATATCAATCACATTTAGTTGACATGGTTTTTGTCAATCGGAAATATTTTTGTCTCTCGCCAAGTATTCCTCATTCATCGAGCGGATACAAATTCTCAGAATTACAAAATATTTTGAGAGGGAATTGTTTCAGTGATATTGTGCATAGTGTTTAAATGTTATTAAATGATGAGATATTTCAGTGAAATGTTCTAAGAAGTCGCTCATTTTCTCCATTTTTGCATTTTTTTTAATTAAATAAAAAAGACCATTTTCTGTTTTTAGCTCGATTATTTTAAGAATAGGAGAGCTGTTGTACTCACCTTGGTGTCTGCGTCACACTTTAGTTAAGTTTTTTCATGCAAGTTGTGATCTTCAAAACTACTGAAGGGAATAGGTTGAAACTTCACATACATATTTGAGAGCAAAAATAGGAGGTCACTATCCAAGGCCCAATTAAGCCTTAAAATAAATTTCAACAGAATTACAAGTGTATGGCCATTTTTTAACTTTGAAAATTCTACATTATACAGGCTCTTGTATACAATCAAGCATTGTAGTTGAGCAAGCTATCCTACCAGCAGCTCTTGATGGGGAAAAATTATGGAATATACCGGTATAACAATGTATTGAACCTGTATGTTCCTCCAAATGATTCTGTGAAGTAATATAATGATGGGTCTGTCCTTCTTTTCTTTCTGTCACATTATCTTACAATTTAAAGGGACTCCACTGAGTTTTTTTGACATAACATGTCTGATAATAATTTGTTGAGAAAAATGTTCCATTTAATGTAGATCTAGACCAATAACTTGAGTACAAAATTTCAGTTCATTTGCTCATTCCATTTTTCCAGAATAATAATCCTAATTATGAAAATTTAGCCAAAATTGAAAAGCATTGCATTCAAATATTTCACGTTTTTTACGCTTTAAAACCTGAGTGGAGTTCCTTTAACCTTTTACCTACTGGTAACAACTGAATCTACCCATCTGACCATGGTTAACAATCCTGTTTGTACATATTTATACCCCCAAAAACGAAGTTTGGGGGGGTATATAGGAGTCACCCGGTGGTCGGTCGGTCGGTCGGTCCAGACGTCTGTTGCATTTTCCTTGTCCGGAGCATAACTTGAAAACTAAAGGTTGGAATTCAATATAACTACATACAATGGTCAAGCACATTGAGAGGAAGTGCAGTGCACAAGAACCATAACTCTATCTTGACTAATTACAGAGTTATTGCCCTTTGTTACTTTTCCTTGTCCGGGGCATAACTTGAAAACTACTGGTTGGAATTCAAAACAACTTCATACAATTGTCAAACACAATAAGGGGAAGTGCAGTGCACAAGAACCATAACTCTATCTAAAGTAATTACAGAGTTATTGCCCTTTGTTGCTTTTCCATTGTATTTTTTTTGTCCAGACCATAACTTGAAGACTAATAGTTTGAATTCAAAATAACTTCATACAATGGTCAAGCACATTGAGAGGAAGTGCAGTGCATAAGAACCATAACTTTATCTTGACTAATTACAGAGTTATTGCCCTTTGTTACTTTTCCTTGTCCGGGGCATAATTTGAAAACAACTGGTTGGAATTCAAAACAACTTCATACAATTGTCAAACACAATAAGGGGAAGTGCAGTGCACAAGAACCATAACTCTGTCTAAAGTAATTACAGAGTTATTGCCCTTTGTTGCTTTTCCATTGCATTTTTTTTTGTATGGACAATAACTTGAAGACTAATAGTTTAAATTCAAAATAACTACATACAATGGTCAAGCACATTGAGAGGAAGTGCAGTGCACAAGAACCATAACTCTATCTTGACTAATTACAGAGTTATTGCCCTTTGTTACTTTTCCTTGTCCGGGGCATAACTTGAAAACTACTGGTTGGAATTCAAAACAACTTCATACAATTGTCAAACACAATAAGGGGAAGTGCAGTGCACAAGAACCAAAACTCTATCTAAAGTAATTACAGAGTTATTGCCCTTTGTTGCTTTTCCATTGCATTTTTTTGTCCGGACCATAACTTGAAGACTAATAGTTTGAATTCAAAATAACTACATACAATGGTCAAGCACATTGAGAGGAAGTGCAGTGCACAAGAACCATAACTCTATCTTGACTAATTACAGAGTTATTGCCCTTTGTTTCTTTTCCTTGTCCGGGGCATAACTTGAAAACTATTGGTTGGAATTCAAAACAACTTCATACAATTGTCAAACACAATAAGGGGAAGTGCAGTGCACAAGAAGCCTAACTCTATCTAAAGTAATTACAGAGTTATTGCCCTTTAATGCTTTTCCATTGCTTTTTTTTTTGTCCGGACCATAACTTGAAGACTAATGGTTGGAATTCAATAAAATTTCATACAATGGTCAAGCACATTGAGAGGAAGTGCAGTGCATAAGAACCATAACTTTGTCTTGACTAATTACAGAGTTATTGCCCTTTTTTCCTTTTCCTTGTCCAGGGCATAATTTGAAAACAACTGGTTGGAATTCAAAACAACTTCATAAAATTGTCAAACACAATAAAGGGAAGTGCAGTGCACAAGAACCATAACTCTTTCTAAAGTAATTAAAGAGTTATTGCCCTTTGTTACTTTTCCATTGATTTTTTTGTCCGTTCCATAACTTCAAGACTAATGGTTGGAATTCAATATAACTACATACAATGGTCAAGCACATTGAGAGGAAGTGCAGTGCATAAGAACCATAACTCTATCTTGACTAATTACAGAGTTATTGCCCTTTGTTACTTTTCCTTGTCCGGGGCATAACTTGAAAAATACTGGTTGGAATTCAAAACAACTTCATACAATTGTCAAACACAATAAGGGGAAGTGCAGTACACAAGAACCATAACTCTATCTAAAGTAATTACAGAGTTATTGCCCTTTGTTACTTTTCCATTGCCTTATTTGTCTGGACCATAACTTGAAGACTAATGGTCGAAATTCAATATAACTTCATACAATGGTAAAGCACATTGAGAGAAAGTGCAGTGCACAAGAACCATAACTCCATCTTGACTAATTACAGAGTTATTGCCCTTTGTTACTTTTCCTTGTCCAGAGCATAACTTGAAAACTTAGTAACTGTTTGGAATTCAATACAACTTCATACAGTTGTCAAAGGAAGTGCAGTGCAGGAGCATAACTTAAAACGTACTGGTTGGAATTCAAAACAACTTCATACAATGGTCAAGCACAATAAGAGGAAGTGCAGTGCACAAGAACTATAACTCTATCTTCAGTATTTATAGAGTCATTGCCCTTTGTTCCTTTTCTTTGTCTTTTGGACTTATTACAGAGTAATTCAATTAAACTTTATCAATGGCCAACCACATTGAAAGGAAATGCAACATATAAGAACCACAACTATCTTTAATTGCCCACAACCATAACTCTATATTTCAAATCTTTTACAAGGTATTCTGTTACTAGTAACATCCTGATTTCCGAAGCAGTCTTGTGGGGGTATAAATCACATTTAGTGATAGTTCTAGTTTAAAATTTTCCCCAGATTGAAAAATGAACAAGTCTAGTTTAGATAATTAGGGTGGTAAGGGTTATGCAAGTTAAGCCGTGTGATCTGTTGTTCATCTGCTTCTTAGTTTGGTTAATGTAGGTCATATTTCGGTGGTTGGTCAACTTTGACCCGTGTTCCTAGATAACTAACCAGGTAACCATTAATCGCCAACTGCTCCGCAAGTGACTGACTGCTATTTATTCCCACATGATTTCTGAATCAGCGATGAGTGGCAAACGACCATTTAACACAATGTCTGTGAATGAGTATTAAAATCAGACAAATATCTTTTAGATTTCTAATACAATTATGTACACTTTAACAACATTAACAACGGCTCTACGAATTTTGGGTGGTATAAATTTGAAACAGATGAGATGAGCTGCACGTATAGGGAAGAGATTATCGCCTAACCCTGTTATTTCTGTAACAAAAAAAAACAACAAAAAACAGAAACCAATTTAAAACAGCCTAGCATATTGATTTTACATCAAGCATATTATATTATCCAGTAAAACAATGAACATTTGTTGTAGTTTTTGTAGATTAAAGATATATGGTCAAATTGTATTGATAAGCTCAAAGTTGATGTTTTAAAAAAAAGCAACTTGGTTTAAATATCCATTTAATCTTGTGTTGAACAGACTTTGATACTTGAAATATACATTAAAAGTATAAGAAATTGCTATATATAAATAACAGCAAACTCCATATTTTTTTATTATTTCGGTAGCGCTGTCAAAATAGTTGTTGTGCATATATCATCAGCTGAATATTTTTAACACAGTTTCTTGTTCAATTTCTTCTAAATGTGAAGAATGACCCAAAATTGAAAAAGCACTGCAACGCTTTTCACTCAAAAATGCGCAAAGAATAGCACACAAAAAATTAATGTTTTAATTTGTTTCTGAGTATATTTCTGAATCATCTTTTGCATATCTTTCTGTCTGTATTAAAGTAGTCTTACTGTTATGCATTCCCGCCAAAAGATCTTTTAACATTGGTCAATATCATGATTATTGAAATCGGTCATTACCGGAACGTTATTTTTCACAATCTTTGGTATTCAATAATTTTTTAACTGTTTATAACCGGAATTTAGTACATAGTACATAGCAATAAAGGATAAGCGATTGTAAATAATCTAATGCCCAATAATGTTCCGGAAATAACTTAATGGTACGATATTGGGCGATGTTAATTTTTTTTTTTTTGCGGGGGGGGGGGGGGGGGGGGAAACAGTATAACTATCTTAAGTGCCCAGCTGATCCCTGAAAGAAATTCAAATTTTCTTTTTCATCTTAGTGGGGTTCCTTTAATAGTCTATTTAAGGCCCATTAATTTCTAACAAGTTAATTATTAACCATACAGCTGAGCCATGACTTTTGCCTCTTTCTTGTTTTGGCAATTAGTATAATTATAGTGATTAAGTATTTTGTATGGAAGAGAAAGTACAACTTCAGGTTTAGGTTTTGCTACCTTTATTATACTGTGTTAATTTCTTCAGGTGATATGTAAGTTCTAAATTCATTATTACAGCACTATAAAACGCATGTTTGCCCTTTCTACGGAAGTAAAAACCTAATCATTTCTAAGGCTGAATGTGCCTTTAACAACCAATTAGCAGACTGCTTCAATTGTAAATTCAAAGAAAACGGAAACCCTTAACAAAATTACAGCTGGGTAATAGTTCTTTTAAGGTTACTGTATTGTTTCCAATTAACACCCACTTTCTAATTAGCCCCCCCCCCCCATCCACCACCACGTTTCGTAGCAAAAAATCGTACAATATAAATTTAGAATCTATAATAAAAATGCAATGCAAAAATTTAAAAGTAACAATGACAAAAATGTAAAATCATTAAAAACTTAATCCTGTATTACATATTATATATTATAATATTATTATGTCATAATAATGACTTTCATAATTGAACATATTAATTATAGTTCTAATTAGTGGAAACCCCCCCACCCACCTTTTGAAAAAAATGCAGGCGTTTTATGGAGATAATGTTATATGGGTCTCTTTTGCTGAAATTTTTGCGAAATATGAGGAACTTGAAAGGCTTGTCTCTTGCAGTGACATCCAAAACTGTGAATTTTGTATCTTAACTGCCGGGCTTTCTAAGGCAATTTTATTGCTGATTTATATTTCTGCATGTTCTGGTTTTAATTACGTGAGTTAAATTAAATGGATTTAAATTTTGATAGAATCATGGCATGCTAAAGGAGATTATAACCACTTGAAATTAAATCTCATTTGAGTAGCTTAGAGGAGGATATTTGATTATCATCTTATTATTGCCTTTTAATTCCTGAGAGAAAATCAGCATCTTCTTTGAATGAGATTTTATCCTATTGATGTTTTTTTGTCCCCTTCATGTTGACAGTTATTTGTTGCTCCACTTTTTCGGAGAAAAAGCAGAGCTTTTTGTCGTGACCTACTTAGCAGCATTGGTGTTCAATGTTATTGGCTAAACAATTTTAGTTTATTCACTTCAATACTTGTAATCTATGTTATACATTGAAACTTAATATGCAGGGGCACTTTGAGGAGTTCTATCTGTCAGACTCATTTTCAGATTTAAAGATCAAAGGTCAAGGCCATTATAGGATCTGTAACCACTATAGGATCTGTAATATCAAAGCATAAAATTGGTTATTAAATGAAAGTGCATTGAGTTTGGAATTTAAACCCTTTCATTTGTTTAAATTTTATAAAATCCGCTGCTTGTAAAACCCTTTTTTTGTGAAAAAAAGGTAAAAGGTACTGTCCCTCTGACCCCAAAAATTAAAAAATTGGAATTTTAATCAAACAAATTTAGCATGATTATGTTGACTTCCCTAAATGTGGGATTTTCTTTTTTATAATTATATTTATTTATATAATAATATAATATAATTTTACTCCATCAATGCCGAAAATTTAAAAATTTTTTTTAATGAATTTCCTTTGAACTCCTCAAAAAGCATTTTTGTGCTTCTTCATAAATTCAATTGGTTACCTTCCTGAATATGTTAGTCTATATTGTATTTTGCTTTGGTTAATGTTTAATATATAAGTATATAATATAAGTACATAAATGTTTTGTTTTTGTTTTCAGTGGCTCTAGAACAACAGCGTCAGATGTACGAGCGTCAGATGCAACAATTACGTTACCAGCTTATGTCACCAGGTACACCATCCATGCCATTCCCGCCTGTTATGACCCCTACCGGTGTACAAAGTGGAATACAAAGGAAATATCAACAGTGGGCACAAGAAAGGTAACTCTTATTCACTGTTGTATAATTGTCGTTAGAAGGATATTTCTTTTATACCCCTACATGTATTTATAACATGTATTTATAGAACAATAGCTTCATTGCTAACCTTGACCTTAAAATAGGGGTTCGATGGTATCGAAGGGCAAATCTCCTATGTGATAATTAGTTTCAAACATTGAGTGTGATTGTAATGCCTCTCATGGCTGATTTAGAAAATGTATGAGAGTAGTATTTGGTCAGTTTTGTTATAAAATTGGTAATTACCGGTTAGAACTGGAAAAACCAGTTAGGTGGATCGACTTCCGAGATACGACCAAAACATCTGTTAAAAAAGGCCTTAGAAATATGTAAAACAAAGAAAAAACACAATGTATCAAAATACATTAAGTGGAGCATGGCTAGACTTAAGATTTTTTGTGTCCGCAGCTATTTTTAACATAATGATTTTACCCGATATTATTTCTTCAATATTTATGTTTTCTCTATGAAATCATGTTAGGGTTTGGGTAAGAGGGTTATGGGTTAGGGTTAGGAATTTTTAAAAAAGGATTTTGCTATGGACAGATTCTAAAAGTGCTCTTTGGAGTATATGTTTGATGATAATAGTTTTGGGACACATTTGGACGAGTTTCACTCAAACTGAGCATGTGGGTGTATGGTGAAGGTGTATAGGGTTTTTTTTATTCTCTCTCAAATACAGTAAACAAAATCAACAACATTCTGCTAGTTAACTTCAGCAGACGGTAATTGGAAATTAAGGGCAATAAATTTCATGTTCATTTTCCCCGCTTTATCGGAAAGATCGGTTTTTAAAACAATATGTAGAATGAGAGAGATTGATGCTGCAAAAACAAGGGACATATTTTATCTATTCGTATCCATTAATAGCAAAGAATTGACTTTCCGGTGAAAATTTGAAGTTAGTTATTTGATTTCTTGTGATTTAATGCCATTGCATACATGAATAAAGGTTTAAAATTGGTTATTGAATTTTGAACATGGGACATCCATGTTTTATATTGATGGGAAGTTATGGTTTTCTTTTATGTCTCTATAGAATGGTTTATGAAATGATGATTGCTGTACTCAAATGTTTAGTTAAAGTGAGTTATGCACCTTGAATTAATTTTATTTACTGATTTAAGATTTCATGGTCCTTATTTTGAGGGATTGACATGTAGCTTTTTCATATAGTAAGTGAAAAATAAGCCCAAAAATTATTTATATGAAACGCCTTATAAGAAGTACAGATTAAGAGAATTACTATTTTGAGGAAAAGGTAGCTGGAATAGAATCATTTGTATCTCTTCTGTTATGAAGAAAAGGTTGACCAATTATGATTGCTGTTACAGACGCTTTCGGGAGTATTTGTATAGATATAAATGCAGAATTAAAACTGTTCTAAAGAATTTCTTTGCACATTAGAATTTGATGACAGAAATATTTAGAGTGAACAAAAAAGTTTAGAAAAAGTCTATATGAAAACTTTCTAAATTGACCTTAATGTAGCTCCTTATTCATACATTTTAAAAATTATCAACATGAAACTTGGAATACTTGCTTATAATAACATGGTACAGTTTTATGACAAGGAGCTTAATTTTTGGAGTTACGGACCCTTTTAACTTCAGAATTTTTGTCAGAATTTGTTATTAAGAGACAAATGTTAACACTGCATGCAGTGTTCTTGTATTAATTTTGCTGCATTTTTATAGAGATAAGATGTTCAAGCACAGTCTGTCGATGCTACGTGAGGAAGTTGTTAAAGCGAACTCATTGGTGCGTGAAGCTAATTTTCTAGCGGAGGAGATGGGGAAACAGACGGAATTCCATGTCACTTTACAAATTCCAGCATCCAATCTAAGTCCAAATAGACGGGTAAGATTTGTTATTTTCAACAATTTTTCTAATGTTAAAGGTGTTAAAGTCAATATAGTAACAGAGCAGTCCTTGGTCTAGTTTTAAAATTGAATAACTTAATAGGATCGAGATTTGACAAAAACATTGAAATAATTTCAATTATAAATTACAAGTAGTCCCTTTCAGGGGCTTGCTTTGTATCTAGTGATTTATATTTAAAATGAAAATCAGAATCGAAATTGTAGAAGAACAGAAAATGAACTTGTTAGTTTCCATGTCATGTCTTTGACATGAACCTCTGCTTTGAGAGAGGAAAATTATTGGAAAAAAAAGTAAAGAAAAAAAAAAAGGATAGTTTGATGATCCGTTGATTCTTTGTTGTAAATGTGAGACTCGTCAACAATATTTAGTTCCCGGCATTGAAACAGAATCCTCAATTTAAAGTGACAGTGTTCACTTGGACAGAGACATTTCCACTAATTGAAATAAGTGGCTATACAGATTTCACCACTAAACTTACAATAAAAGTGGAATTAACAGCGAAAACCATACAAACTGTGTAATGATTTATTTATCTCATCACTGACACTTGTTTAGACAAATAAGAGATTACTGAAGGAAATGGGTTGAAAATTCACACATTTATTTTAAAGTAAATTAGAAAGTTACTGTCCAAGGGCCATAACTCTAACATGGATTTTGATAGAATCATGGTCCTTTTTGAACTTTCTAAAATTCTACATTATCTAGGGTCTTGTTATCAGGCAATGAGAATAGTCAAGGACGCTGGCCTTTTTACAGCTTTTGTTACATTTTAGAAAAAAAAAAATCTTTAAGAAATAAATTTTGTTTGTATTATATCAGACATATTATGTTGTTTATTAAACACTTTGTCTGTATGATGTTATTTACAGAGAGGAGCATTAGTATGTGAGCCGGCCATCTTGGTGCGTAGAAAACATCGTGGCAGCCAGGTTTGGTCGATGGAGAAGTTCGAGAACAAGATTATAGATATGCGTGACATGTATGAGGATCGTAAATCGCAAGGAATACCTCTACGGGTAGATGACTCCGATGAATCTGAGTCGGTTTGTGTAGTCAAGCTTCGCATGACGTTTTCATATTTTTCGAAAAAATGTATATTCCCATAGTCACAACTATGTCCGGTAATAGATGTTATCTGGAACACAGTAAATATGGGTTTTTCCAAGCTAATCCCCCGATACAAACAAACATTTCTCGTTATAGCTTCACAATGCACTACCGGTCATAATAGATGAGTCAACCTGTTGCGCTTATTTTCGAATCTGTAACCTTTAAAATTTGCTTGTATCTCCAGATTAGCTGAGGAAAACCCAATATTCTAAATTCCTGAGTAAGTTTGACGGCCTGCATATTGGTCCGGTGGTAGTTATGTCCAGTCCATCTCTCGCCGGTCAACACAGGCTATTTTTGTCTAAATCATATTGTCTTAATATTTCAACTGGACGTTCCTTTTGACACAAGCTTTGTATAGACATATTGATATTTGGTCTTTATCCTTAAAATTAAATGACCGTCAAAATCAGGAACTTTTCACCGCATTTAAGCTTGTCTGTTTCGAAGAAAGTTGTTAGAGAAGGGGGGATAATTATGAAAGCAATAATTTTGGAGTTATGCCCCTTTTAACTTGGATTTTTTACAGACATGTGTTTACACTGCATGCCGTGGTGCCCCTGTTAAACAATTTTTCATTGACTTAGGAATTTTGTAAATATTTCTTGATATAGTAAAATTTGAAGATTTTTTTTTCATCAGAAGGATGTGTTAAAAAAAACAACCCAACAACTGATGAACTAGTGAAGTGGGAATATACATTTTTTAGATTTTATCTGTGCAACTAAAAGACATGAAACTGTCAATTGTTTGTTTCTGAATTTAACTAAAAATAATTTCTAAATACAAAGGTTTGGAGATATTTTCTAAATTCAAAACAATGTCCTTAAGGAAGATCATTGTTGTAAGTGGTTTGTACTTTAAGTCAGCTAGTTGCACTCTAATGGCTTGCATTTTTTTATAAATTGTGTTATTCTTATTATTGCAGTGATGTTCAGTCTTCTATACTATTATTATTATATTACGTTCTGTGACATTTGTTTTCTTGAATAATAGTTGACCAAAGAAATTGAATGCAAGAAAATTGGAATATGACTCTGTAGTTATAGTTACTTTTGATATGTGCATAAGGGAATTTAAATGGTTTACTGTCCTTAAGTGTATATTGGAGAAAAAAATTCTTAGGGGCCAGTTACACAGACGGTCGGTCCCCAATCGGTCATTTAATTTTAAATTTACTCGCTGTTATGATCAGTTGTCATGCATGATTTTATTTCTAGTTTTCTGTGTAAACAGCCATCGGTGACAGAAAGCAAACTCAAACGGGGTTGGATCGGTGATAAAAATGCTGAAATACTATCGGTTTTTATCGTTTGTAAATCGGAGCTAAATCGGGCGTAACGCTAATTAATCGGTGTTTGATAGCTAGTCATCAGTGGTAAACACTTTCGGTCAGATATGGCCGGTGATTCATATTTGGTTATCTTTGTCCGATCGACGATATTGGTGATTAAGAGCTTGCAATTATCTTGTGATATTAGGTTGCTGTCGGTTATTTGTAAAATATTTTCACCGATCGAGAATTTTAAACATGTTTAAAAATCCCAATCAGTAATTTTTCACGGATGAAACTTATCTTTCCCCAATAGCAGCTGACAGGTGGAAAACAGGTGACCAATCGGTGATATCGGTGTTAAATAAGTTGTCATCGGTTCACTCCATAATTTGGCTAAAAAAACTACCGATCAATCACCGATGGCTCTGTGTAACTGGGGTGATACCAAATGTAGGTTCTATATTTATGTTTAATGTTGATGCTCATGTCTTCTCCTTTGGCAAAATGAAAATTCTTTGGTATTTTGATCTTTGACCTTGATTCCAGTGGTCATTTGTCGCTCACTGATGATGCTATAGGTAGTAAGTCACTAGCCTAAAAATGGGTATTTAGTTGCTGGTTATCCAGAACTTGTTAGTTATCCAGAAAACCATTTAGGTGAATCAACCTCTGAGATATGACTAGAAATGTGTTACAATCGCCGTAAAAAGTCCAGACAAACTAACTGATTAAATTGACTACTTTAAATTTCAATTAGGACTATAAATTATGCATTTGTATGTAAATAGTTTATGCATGAATATTGTGATATATAGAGTGGTTGCTTTAAGTTTAGTAGGCAAAATATTTTATGTGCTGTAGTTGGATAGAAAATATTTATTATATGAGCCGCGTCACGACAAAACCAACATAATGCGTTTGCGAACAGCATGGATCCAGACCAGCCTGGACATCCACGCAGTCTGATCAGGATCCATGCTGTTCGCTATCAGTTTCTCTACTTGTAATAGGGTTTGTAAGCAAACAGCATGGATCCTGATCCCCCCGGGCAAGGGGTTTGGCCGCGGGCCATTTGGGTTTTTATGTGCGGGTTTCGCAAAAGGGTTTTTTTACTTTGGGTTTTTGGGTCTTTGACGGGGTTTTCCAAATTTATACCCACCCTTGCTATTTTTTTATTAGGTTTTTTCCAAACCGTTTGAGGGGTTTGGGAAACCGGCTCATTTGTTTTTTTTGGGAAATTTCTTTTTTTAGGGGGTTACCCCAGCTAGTTTTAAAGAATTTAAATTTTGGGGTTTTTTTGGTTTGCCTAAGTTGGGCCACTTTATGGCCCCTTTTTGGTTTTCTTCCTTCCCCCATTTAATTTTGGAAAATTTTTCCCAAAAAAAACCCAATTTTTTAATTTATTTTTGTTTTTGTTGGTTTTTGGGCTTTTTTTAAATTTTTCCAACCAAATTTTAAAAATTTTTTTTTTTTCCCGGGGAAACTGTATTAGGGTTGACTTATCTTGCAAGTTGATTGGGTCAATATCACTGAGACTTAAATAACCTTGTCTGTATTTTAGGCTATGTTTTAGCTTTGTCAGAGTATGAAGTATTATCCATTGTTGTTATTCATTGTTGTTTCTGATATTTTTGTTTTAATAGGAGATTTAAAATAGCATCAAAGGACGAGCAAAAAAAAACCCCCCAAAAAAAATGAAAATCCATTTTAAAACAAATCCTGTATTTTCAAAGCATGCAACATTTTTCTTTTGTAGCTGATTTTTAAAATAATCCAGAAAAGAACTGTGAATTTGAATCGTTAATACTGTTCTAAGAAGATTTTCAGATTGAATTTTTTTTATAATTTATTCACAAAATATGAAAATTTCACAAAATAGAAATGGAAGTCAAACACATTTCTGAATCAGCGGAGTTTTAATTACGATTGTTCTTTTATACAGGATGATGGACCGCCACAAAAAGGCGACCCGTTTTATGAATCGTACGAGAACCATAACCTGATCGGAGTTGCGAACGTTTTTCTCGATTGTCTGTTTTACGACGTAAAGCTCGATTATCAGGTGCCTATCATCAGCCAGCAAGGAGAGGTACGTACATTATTCTGTCATTAATCTTACAGATATATTATAGGTTGGGCACACGGGGCTAAATGGTTAAGGTCATAGACTTCAAGCCACTTGCCCCTCACTTCTGTGGGTTGGAATCTCTCCCAGGACTTCAGATTATTTCGTGTGAGGATGCTATCCAGCTAGCTTCAAAAATGTAGGTGGTTCTACTCAGGTTCCCATTTGTGTCTATGCATGGACAGGCACCTGAGATCTTCCTCCACCAGTTAAGCTGGAAACTCACCATATGACCATTATGATGTTGGTGTGACGTAAAACTTAAAAAACACAACCGAAATTATTTTTTTTAATTATTAAGAAATGTTTGTGTGAATTCTAATTATAAATGTCAATATTTTAGTGAAATTCAATTAAATTTATATCATTCACTTATTCAGCAATTTTTAAGGATAACAAATCCAAATGGGGGGGGGGGGTAAAAATGAGACTATTACAGCCAAGTTGTTAAGGGCACTGACTTTCAATCATTTCCATCCTCTATGGCTTATAACCCGAATAATAACCAAGGACATTACTTAAAGTGTAATTGGAAATTACTTTAACTGAAATAGGAAAAGAATTGGAAATGACTTAAACTGAAATTACTTAATGACTTAAAAGTGAAATTGGAAATGACTTAAACTGAAATTGATATAGAGTACATTAAATATCAGGTTGCTGGTAAACTACACATGGAGATATCAAAGCTAGGTACGGCCATGATGGACCGCTACGCAGATATAAATGATGACAGTGATGACGAGGAAGGTAACGAGGAGGACGCTGATCGATCTATGTCAGTAGGAGCTCCACTCATAATCAGAGTAAGTAGAAAGCCTTCTAAATTGCTGATTTTATGAAAGTGGATGATGATGAATTTAAACCCAAATAAATTTGAACACGTTTCATGAGGTTATACAGGGGTGACAAAATAAACTGTTCATATTGCCCAGGTTGTCTTACAAACCTGTATGGACAAGTGGCAGTTTTCAAGAATTTACAGTATAAATATCATACGGACAAGTTAAGAAATGCCTCAGATAAAAACGAGCAAATAAGTCAAAATCAGATTTTGCTGTCCCCTGATAATAAATTTGGCAAAAAAAGAACTTATATGTCGTATTAGAATGATTGTTACACTTACACATGGAGTCATGTGCCATGGCAATGCGGGCAATAAATTTAAAGAAAGAACTAATAATCTCAAAACATTTTTTACATATGTCATATAATGTGTATGTAAATGATTTGCCAGTCTAGATTGGTTTGGGTCGGAGAAGTCCCCAGTGTTGATCTTTAGTTTAAAGAACCTGTTCTTAAATGAGTGTGTTTTTATTTTCAGCACTGGAATGAATATTAGCGATTCAACTAAACTTAAGGGGTTTTAATGTTGAAAAATTTATTGAGTATTATCAGTAAATGTGTTTGTGTCTGCCATAATTCCGATCACACATCCTCATTTTATACTATAGGGAGATGGAAATAAGATGGGAGGAATCCCATACTAAGCTAAAAATTTACCATATATCAAAATAAACTCTTCAATATAGAGGTACTGTTTAGATTCTATAGTAACTATAGTTACTGTGATATCAGCGTGAAGGTGAGTTTTAAATGTGGATCGAGCATTTCTAGCTTGACTATGTGAACAATAGTGAGAGCTATTGTGTGACTGTCACTTTGGTGAAGATTTTGCATGCAAGTTGGTTTATACAGAATTTATTTTAGTTTGATTGTGTAGGAAGCTATAAGCTTAAAGACACACTTTCGAATCCATTTCTGGAACCAACCAGTATTGAGCAATGAGTGTACAGTTTCTTGCTCAAGGAAACAAGGACTTGCCCCTGACAGGGCTTTGATCCCATGCCGCAAGCGATCATTAGATTACTAGTCCGAGGTGTTAACCACTCGGCCAGCATGCAATTTGGTGTCACACTTTAGTTGGTATCTCCAAAACTACTGAAGGGAATGGGTGAAACCAAATAAGGATGTCACTGAAACCTCAGAAAATTCTACATTGTACAGCCTTATAATTTACTAACAAGCACTGAGAATAGTCCAGCAGCCTGTACTACTGATATCAGTTGTTGTTGAAAATGATACCTGTATATAAGTACAATGATTGCTATCTTATTTTCACAGGTAAAGATATGTGAAGCAAAAGGCCTGCCAAAAGATTTATCAAACTTTGTGTTTTGTCAGTACTCTTTCTGGGGTCATGATGAACCAATATCTGTACCCCCAGAGATTAACCCTGACACTAGTAAAGACAAGAGGGACTCCAAATGTATCAAGTTTAATCATGAAAGGGTAAGAATGAAGAAAATTGATTGAAAAAATTACCTATATCATAATAACAATTATATATAATAATATATCATAAAAACAATTATATCATAATAACAAAATCATAATAACAATTATATCATAATAACAATTAAATCATTTTAACAAAAAAGTAAAAAAAACTGAAATCATAATAACAATTATATCATAATAACAAGTGTGCATCAGATTTTATCTCAATACTTTTCTTGTTTTCTATGGAATATAACCATATTATACTTTTTACAAATGACACTTTTGCTCTTTAAATGAAAATACAATTAAAACCAGATTGTTTTAATTACGTTTTGTCATGTGATAAAAAGAATTTGACATCTAAAAAAAAGTTATGCTTGCCAATGCCTTGCTCGCCTTAAAACATTTCCTTTAACTCTTTTTCTTAACAGTTGAATTTTAATGACAACTCATTTCAAATTCTATATACATGTATATTCTACTCCCTTACAAAAAAATGCACAATTGTTTTTTAAAAAATTCTTTGACCCAATTATTTACATGTGAGATAGCTTAAAATACTACAATATACAAAATATTGTAGAATCTTCTACAGTGCCCTCCGACCTCCTCATGCCCGACCGAGGGGCGTCTAAAATCTGTACCACAGTGCCGATTAATTTAAGATTATATTCATAAAACTATGGATAAACGTTTTATATAGTCTTTTTTTATGTCTTTCAGGATTTCAAAGTTTACATGTCAGAAGAGTTCATAGAGTATGCCCAGGAAGGGGCACTGTTTATAGAAGTCTGGGGACATAAAGTTGTTGGTTTTGGTCAGTCGAACTCCCAGATAGATAGTGTGGCCAGGTCTAATTCATTGGTGGACAGGTAAATTTTGTTACGTAAAATGTTGATCAATTTCGATTGTACAAAGTTATGAAATCAATTTGAAAGATGTTTGAGAGTTTACTTATAAATGATCTTTATGTCTCGCACATAATCAAGATGCACTTTGACCCTTAACCTACTGAATTTTGTAATGTTGTAATGGTTTGTTTTGCTTTGAATTTTGATAGTCAAAATACTGAAATAGAGCTACCAACATTATATAGCCTGGTCAGAATGCGCTAAAGTGCACACTGACCTGGCTCTATACTGGTACTAAAGTCTAACCACTTTTAGTTCCAGAAGATTGGTTAATGATTTGACATCATCAACAATTTACTCAAATATAGCCTCCTTAGTATCTGCTGGCCAGAATAGCTTCAAACTGCGACAACTTCATTTGATTTTTATTCAGATTTGATGTGTTTTTAGCTCACCTGTCACAAAGTAACAGGGTGAGCTTTTGTGATCGCTTTTCGTCCGTCGTCCGTCCGTCCGTAAACTTTTACTTTAAATGACATCTCCTCATAAACCACTAAGCCAATTTCATCCAAACTTCACAGGAATGTTCCTTTGGTGGTCACCTTAAAAAATTGTTCAAAGAATTTAATTCCATGCAGAACTCTGGTTGCCATGGCAACCGAAAGAAAAAACTTTAAATATCTTCTTTTAAAAAAACGTAAGAGCTAGAGCTTTGATATTTGGTATGAAACATCTTCTAGTGAGTGTCTACCAAGTTTGTTCAAATAAAAGCCCTGGGGTCAAAATTGGCCCCGCCCCAGGGGGTCATTGATTTTCCCTATATGCATATAGTAAAAACTTAAAAAATCTTCTTTTAAAGAACCCAAAGAGCTAGAGCTAAGATATTTAGCATGAAACATCTTCTAATGAGTATCTACCAGGTTTGTTCAAATAAAAGCCCTGGGGTCAAAATTGGCCCAGCCCCAGGGGGTCATTGATTTTCCCTATATGCATTTAGTAAAAACTTAAAAAATCTTCTTTTAAAGAACCCAAAGAGCTAGAGCTAAGATATTTAGCATTAAACATCTTCTATTGAGTGTCTACCAAGTTTGTTCAAATAAAAGCCCTGGGGTCAAAATTGGCCCCGCCCAAGGGGGTCATTGATTTTCCCTATATGCATATAGTAAAAACTTAAAAAATCTTCTTTTAGAGAACTCAAAGAGCTAGAGCTAAGATATTTAGCATGAAACATCTTCTAATGAGTGTCTACCAAGTTTGTTCAAATAAAAGCCCTGGGGTCAAAATTGGCCCAGCCCCGGGGGTCATTGATTTTCCTTATATGTGTATAGCAAAAACTTAAAAATCTTCTTTGAAAAAACTCAAATAGCTAGAGTTTAGATATTAAGCATGAAACATTTTCTATAAAGTTTGTTCAATTGAAAGCCCTGGGGTCAAAACTGGCCCCGCCCCAGGGGTGTCATTTATTCACTATATGTGTAAAGTAAAAACTTAAAAAATCTGCTTTTAAGAAACCCAATGAGCTAGAGCTTAGATGTTTAGCATGAAACATCTTCTTATGGGTGTCTACCAAGTTTGTTCAAATAAAAGCCCTTGGGTTAAAATTGGCCCTGTCGGGGTGGGGGGGGGAGCTATATACAGGTGAGCGACTTCAGGGCCATCATGGCCCTCTTGTTTGTTCTTGAGAACTTTTACTAAAGGTTTGAAATTCAAGTTTGATTATAAGAAGTGTTATAAAATGTTTCAGATGGCATGAAGTAACAAGGAAGATAGAAGTATGGGTAGAGATACACGAGGTGAACGATCAAGGGGAGTATGCCCCTGTTGAAGTTAAACCTCAGTCTGACGTCCCCTCGGCTGGCGTGTTCCAGCTTAGACAGGTAAAATAATTATTTTGGTTAAGGGTGTGGTGCTATATGCTGGAACCTGCTTGTTTGCCAGCTGTTAGATTGCGTTTGTCTGGGGATGTAACTATTAGAAATAATGAATATTGAACTTCATAGATAGTTAAAAGTGTAAAGAACTACAGTGACTATAAACCATAACTCTTAGAACTTTTATGTTATCATTTTGTATGATTATTGTGTATATTACTGGTGTACAGTTTTATATTTCCACTGTGCAAGTATGCATTCATGCATTTTGTAAAATTACATTTATAATTTATAGACTAATCATTTATATTTGCTGTAAACTGTTTATTGGCCTACAAATATTGGTTAATTATTGTTTTGGGAGCCCTGCTTATCACAAATAACTCCCTAGTACTTGAAATATTGCCTATGAAACATTATATATCTTTCAACAAATAATCAGATGAGTTGTTATGAATTTCACTGCTTAGTTTATACAAATTTATTTTAGTTTGATTGTGTACGATGCTATAAGTTTATTGAAACATTCTCAAATCCGTTCCTGGACCTAACCAGTACTTAGCAATAAGTTTCTTGCTCATGGAACGGCTGGCCCCTTACAGGGTTTGAACCCATGCGTCCAGCAATTTTTAGATAACTAGTCCGATACTTTACACACTTGGCCATACTGCCACTTCCAATTCCAGCTTGATTAAACTCACAAAATGAAACGACTTACCAATGGTGAAAGTTATTTTCTTGTTTGGTCTGTTTTATGTTACACTATTTATCAAATATAGAATGTTTTCGTTGATTATTTTAGGGTCACGCTAGACGCATTTTGACACGTATAAAGTCACGGGCTGACTCCGGCACTCTTCCATTAATCTGTGATAGCGTTAGCTCCCTTGCCATTGGTTGTATATGTGCGCGATCTAAGTTACAGAAAGGCTTGGATAGTTATCAGGAAGAAGATCTGGGTCACTTGAGAGATCGGTGGAACGAGGCATTGTCAAGGAGACATAAATACCTGGACAGCCAAATTCAAAGTCTTATAAATAAAACTGGTAAGAATTAGATGTAATGTTTATAATGTTAAATGAGTAGATTTCTCAATGCGCTCTTGTTTTCATGGTCCAGTTACTTTCAACTCTTGTTTCCTTGTAATATGGATCATGCTGTAGAAATAAGCTAGGTTTATTTGGGTTTTTTCACGATAAAACTGGGTGAAAGATTAGGGGTTTTTTGCTTGCCTAAAACAGAAGGATGCAGAGTCTTATCCACCCTGCATTTACTAGGCAATTAAATTCTTAACTCTTAAACTGCAGAATTTTATTAAATTGAATTGCGGTTTTGGAACGGTCATTTTCAAACTTTTAAGAAATCAAGATAAAGAATTTAAAATTATTCAACCAACGGTTTTGTGCAGACTGGCATGTTTCTATACTTGTGGCAAAACCCAGCATGGTTAGTGCTAGTGTTGTATTAGCAAGGGTTGGTAGGGATTCAATGTCTGTAAAAGTTAAAATAGCTGTGGTGGGGAAAATTTACACAAAAACTGTATTTCCAAAACTGTCTTGTTGCTTTCAATTTCTATTGATAAAAGATCAGATTTCTTTAAAGATGATATATAATCCCTTGAAGAAATCTGCATAATCAAAAAGAATAAGTTAGGTAATGAAACATATTTTCATTTTAAATTTGATTTGATTTTCATTAAGCTTTCTTTAAATAAGGCTTTCTGAACTTTACAAAACTTTATTAACCTGGTAAGATTTACACTACCAGGTCATTATTCCAACTGGTTAAACAGATTGCCTTAACAAATTGCTGCTTGACTGGTTTACAGAGTTTTATTTGGACAGTCAATGTATAGCTTGACTAATGTCAATATTTTGTCATGGTAACGCATGGTTCACAAACATTTTAGCTTTAATTTGTATATTTTTATCACTTTTAGTCTAAATATAAACGTTTTTTTCTGATATATTTACACAACCAGATAAAACAGAGGCAGACTGTGATAGAGAAAGGGCGTTAATAGATCAGTGGGTGTCGCTGACTGAAGAGAGAAATGCGGTTATGGTCCCGGCAGCTGGAAGTGAAATACCCGGGGCTCCCGCAGACTGGTACGCATTTTTTACCATGACTGTTTTCTTATGTCATGTGGTCGTCTGATACATATTTGTTTTGTTATAATATATTTATTTAACTCATAAGAAATTGTAATGCTATGGTCCCAGCAGCTGGAAGTGAAATCCTGGGGCTTCCGTGGACTGGTACGCACTTTTTTTTGCATGACTGGTTCTATTTTCTTATATAACATAATGATATTTAACTGTAAGAAATTGTCTTTTTTATGGCCCCAGCAGTGTCTTTGTTATGGACACAGCAGCTTGAAGGTATATTCCCGGGGCTCCAGCGGACTGGTACACACTTTTATTTTCCAAGACTGGTTTTCTTGCATGTATTACTAATCAATTATATTTGTCTTGCTGAAAGATCTTTATGTTTAGCAAATGGCCTGGATATTTTTTTGCTGGCTGCTTTAGCATTTAAATCTTAAAATCTCTGAAATCATAAAAGGAATGCTCAATCAAGGCAGATAAAATCTTTTCTCCAAGATCAGGCCAGGAATATGCTCAATTTATAACTTTATCGCATGACCACAAACAATGCAAGACAAATACACATGCAAAACTGATATAAAAGATTTTTTATGATGGTTTTTTTTGTTATTCAGAGTATGATTCATTATGTTTTTGATAAAAGCATTGAAAATTTTTGTTTGAAATATTGTTCTGTATGTTTTTAGGGAGGCCCCGCCAGACATGGAACAACATAGACCCGTGTTATTTTTAGATTTAAATTGTAAGTGCAAGTTTTACCCAATTTTCATGATATTATGTAACGTCACACTTTAATTATTAAAAAAAGTTATGCTTCCAATTTTGTAAACATTGATATAACATTGACATTTCTTTGGCGTTGGCTTCTGGGTAACCTTTCTGTTACAGTCCATTATTTCTCAGAAACAATAAAAGCTATTCACTTAAAACTTTGTATACATGTTTTTGTTATAAAAGGATGCCATTTGAAGAGGGGAGATAAACATGAAATTATTGTTTGCAAAGTTGAAAAGTGGAGAATGGCTGTTTTAAGCCTGTAAAATTTCAATTCATGGAAAGCATTCTTTTTATAAAAATATGGTGCAGTTATTAGATATCAGTTGGTAATTTAAATTCAATAAAGCATCTTTATTTTAGTATCAAATATTTCCTCTATTACAGCCGATGATATGACAACACCAAATGCTAAAGAAGGCACCCAAGCTGCTGGTATTAACTCTATACTGCCAAAAGAACAATCTAATAACTACATGGCTTTACCAATACTCAAAGCTTATACTGAAACAGATAATGTAAGTTCTAAGTATTTGGTGTGAATATTGTTTGTGTGGATATTTCTCCTAAAAAAGTTAACGAATTTAAAATTGCAGAGATTTTGCATGAGGAATCAAGCGAGGGTAGCATTTAATGTCAGGTTTGTTGATATTAAAGGGGCTACACTGAGGTCTGACAGGTAATTTGGTGTCCAAAAAAAATGTAAACAAATTTCCTCACAAATCACAATATTATGACTAAAATAACAATAACTTACATTTTAACCAACCCTCTAACAACAATTATGCTAGAAAATGCATTTTCACATTAGCTTTTGATGCAAAAATGAAAGTTGGTTTTCCCAGACATGTACAGAAGTTACCCACAATTCATCGGGTATAACTAAAATACGCAACGGACATTTTTGGAACAACAGAGTAAACGGGGGTAAAAAAGTATATTGATTTTTTCTCAATACTCTAACCTATCATGTTTCAATACTCTAACCTATCATGTTTATATAACGAAGAAAACTATAAAAGATAATCAAGGTAGCAATTTCGTTGGATCCTTCCGACTTCCCTTCGTGGCGTGCACGTCGCTCGGAAGGCATAGGTCACACCAGATGGGTGACCTAGTTAGGTCACTTAGCTGGTGTGACCTAACCAACGACGAAGGGTGTGGCCCTAAAGAGAGCTGCTGCTCCCGGAAGAGGTGCCTTTCCTCCTATTGTCATTTGTTCATCAAGCGAAGAATTTGGTCCTAGAGAAGGTCTACGACGATCGACAGCTTGAAAAGACCTCCGTCGCGGCTCTTCGACATCGACGACGTTGCAGGCGAATAAGTCCTCCGTTGCAGGCTCTACGTTACCAGCAATCGTAATAGAGGCCGACTAGTCTGGGACATATGGGAAACCGGCGCCCAGTATAAATAAAACTAAAAAAAACACACACACAAATTTCGTTGTCTTGAAAAATCAAACGCCAGCGAAGTGGACATTTTCTAGACAAAACGGAAATATATTATATACATGTACAATTATTTTCATTGACTTTTCAGTTTCAATTTCAATATTCTAAGGCAAACATAATGCATCGGTGATATTTATACTATAACGAGCACAGTGTAATCACACTAATAAAAGTATTTAACGCTATCTATAACGTATTTAAATCAAATACAGTTAATGACATGTCTCATTTTATTTGATTGTTTGTTTTTGGGATGGAGTTGGGGTTACGTCACACAAAACTATCTAGGTCATTTTAGCGACTCTTCAGTTTTACTGGTGGAGTAAGAACTCAGATGCCCCCTTTGCAAAATTGTTTCTGGCACAAACGGGCATCTGTGTATGTAATGAGTGACGTTTCGTAGGCTATCTTGATAGGATCGTACATACATGTTCCACACACAATTACATCATGTTCATACCATAGGCAAAATTAAATGCACGTTCCCCTGTTGTAACAATATGAAACCCCAGAAAAAACCTATGAACCAGCTTCTGAATATGGCATTTCTATCATTATTCCACAAAAAGCACACCCCCCCCCCCCCAAAAAAAAAAGAAAAAAAAAAAAAAAAAGAATGAGTACATCAAAGTGTTGGGAACTATTACCTGCACTCCAGTTACGCACTGTGCATGTATATGAATTCGATTTAACTCTGACACGTTTTCAACAGAAAAGTCTTCAAACTATGATACAATAAATGTTTATGATTCTATTAGAAACTTGTTTAGAATTTAATGATTTTTCGGTGAAAACGATATAGTTTACTTGTACTACAGATAAGATCAAAGTGCTGAAGGCACTGAAGAAAAAACCGGATAAACAAACACATTTTCACTACAGTTTCACAGGTAAATTAATTTTATATGTCGCGGTTTACATCTTAATATCAGGTAACCTTTTCTTTTTGAGACTTTTGTTTTTGAAAATAATCTAAACGAGTAAAATAAACCCTCTTTTATGGGCAAATAATTTAATAAGTAGCATCCCCGATTTCTCTTTCATAAATTGGCTTTAGCAAATTCTTTTCTATTCAATATTAAGAACATTCTGTCAGTGACGTGTCTTCTACTTGAAATCTTCCTGGTGTGTATTTTTCGGTAACAGGAAGAAAATGACAATCTGTTCGTATCTTTCGGTAACAGGAAGAACATGACAGTCTGTTCATTTGATCATGACTGTGAAAAATCATGTTTTCTGAACCAATTTATCCTGCCGATAAAGATTTTGCAAGCAATCTGGTGGTTTATGTTCTAGTGTTTACATTTAGTATCTAATTCCAAAGAACATTTCTTAGAAGACCTTTAACGTTTGATTACGGTATAATCACTATAACCGAAATACTTAGGCCTGTTACTGTGAAATTTTCGTTCATGTGTTTAAAATACTTCAGTAGCTCTATAAATTTTCAAAACGATATCCAGTATTTCCGAAACAATTTACAAAGGCTTTTAATACGCAATCTTATAAATCTTAAAGTATTACGAGAACCACCCACCTAATCTCCAGAACATACATACGAAAAACAAGATAAATCAAAAGGCTGTAAGCTCTGTGGTATTTTCTGATCTTTGTAATCTAAATCGCACTGTATAACTGTATTATTTTCCTGTATAAGTTTATTTTTATGTCCTATAATTCTTCTTGCTTGGTACCAGAGTTTGATACATATGGAATTTTGCATGACTAGAGTTGCATCAAAAAAATCATTTATGTTCATTTTTATGACAGCCACACTTTATCCTTGCATATCGTGGCTGTTTCCATAACAAAGAAATTAGATTTTCCATTGCATTTCGGGTTAATTTCGAGGTTTTTTGTTTCAAGATAAACCTGTTGTTTAACATTGATGTAAATAATTTAACAAAAATCTTCTCGCCAAAACAGTCCGACATTGTATATATTCCACTACTCGACAGTCAGATTTATTTGTGAAATACGCTCTCGACATCGCTTAAAATAGCATTTTCATTGATTAAAATGATATTCATCCGAATGTGCATTCATTGACAATTCTATAACCCAAAGCTACTTTTAAACTTTGAATGCGTTGTAATTTGTTGGATACTTATAACAAAATGAAAATATTTCTTTCTTTTAAATCGCTAGTTTTCAGATGTTTTAAAAACTGCTTGTTGTTAGGTTTGTCGTGAAACCGCTGTGTCAGAGATTGAATGTTAGCTTTGTATTTCCTGATCTTCGATCAGAAATACAAAAAGGAATGGTAACATTCAATGAATGCAACACCCACACGACCAAGCAACACAGGACCACGGCTAAAGTATCAATGAAAAATTTAATTTCAGGCTTTCAAGTGGTAAATAAAAAGACTAAACAAAAAAAAAATGAAAAACAGGAAGAAAGAAGAGACAAAAGTAGAGAAGAGTAAAGGTTTTAGTGCTATAAAGCAAGAAAAGCATGGTTCTCTTCCTAACTAATTTATGCAATGAAATGCATCCGATCAATATTTAGCCGTTGCAGTTTTTGAAACCAGTCACGAGTATGCTATGATAAACAGGCTATAAGGAGTAAAAACACTGGTTAAGATATGCATTGCGCTTTCCCAAGTTTGTATACCGTCTAGGAGTTGGAAGTTTTGTTTGCATAATTTTATAAAATATAGTTTCAGCAATGGTTGTTGTATGAGGTGAGGTTAATAATATCTTACTGAATTCTTAATGTTACTTTTACTTACCTGCCCTTTACATTTGTCTTGCAAGTATCATGATTTTGTTTGTTTCGTTAAATTTGAAAGAGGGTTTAAAGAAGAACAGCTACATGTATATAATCAGTTTTAAGTTTATTTCACTAGTCCCGACAATAACCCTGCTGTGGAAGCTTGACTGTGTCGGGGGCTGCGTCCTGTGAACGTTGCCGTCACCTTGATTGTCTTTTTCCAGTTTTCCTTTTTTACTCTTATAACGCTCTCAATTTCTTTTCCACCGAGAAGCTTCAATATATTGTTTACATTAAAGCACAGCTCAATTGACCCATCACTAGTACGGATGCCTTCCAATAAGAAAGAAATTTATCAGGATATCTGCTAAATCAATAATGATAATAATAATAATAATAGAGCCAGATTTTAAACTCTTTTCCGACCTTCTTGATAATGTTTACCATGTGCATGAAACAGGTATCAATTACCTATAGTTTTGAATGTCTAGATCAAAACGTAGTAATTTTCTCATCAACAAAGTTTACATCCAATGCGGATAAATATGCAAGTATGTATGTAAAATGATAAATATTAAATTTCAGATCTATCTAGCAAAGGAGATCGATTTTTTTTCTTATAGAATTTTAATTATATGCACTAGACATACATAAGAATTATTAACTAATAAAGTTGAAGCCTTAATGTCCTATAATGAGGCCGGATTCATTCTCTATTTAGCCAGTGCTTTCAGTGCTTTGATCAGAGTTAAAGAGAAATATCTAGAATAACATTCTGTGTGTGCGTGTGATTTTTTATGCTTACAATACTCAAGTTCATGTTCGTTGTATAAAAGGTATTACGAAGTTTTTTTTCCTGAACGGGTGTCAGATAAACCAAAGTGACCTTTGAAATAGGACCCATTACACTGATTGACAAAGTAAATTTTCTTAGCCTAGATATCATGATATTTTAACCATTACAAAGTTAATACATACTATTTAATAATTACACGAAAGCTCTCAAATTAACATAGAATATTTGTAAAATTTGTGTATGTCAGTTTTCAACTCCGTACGTTTAGCTAAATTCATCATTGTAATGGAGAAAAAAAACATGATTACAACAATGTAATGCTTTAAATATATTGAAATTGCTTTTGAAAGATTTTTTCTCACAAGAACATATGTGAACAACAAGAAATTTAACAAACAAATCCATAATTTGCTTTTTAAATTTATGGATTGTTGGTATATATTCCACTTTCGCACTTTCGTTGCTGCCGATACACAAAAAATTCTCCGTTTCGCTTTTTAGTCATCCCGAGAATCATCACGTGACCGTTGTTTTTATTCAGATTTGCAAACTGAAA